GCCCATCGGGAGGGCAGGGAGGCTGCGGCCAAGCCCTGGCACGGTCCCTGCGGGCAGCACGCGTCCTCCTCCATCTGCCGCGGCAGCCGGAGGCACGGGCAGCCCTGCTGCGTGCACCTGGGCTCGGGGAGCCAGCCCGCCTGCCTCCGCCTGGGCCCCTTCCCTTCCCCGTGGGGGGAGCGGGGCCGTGCTGCCAAGACCCCTCCGCAGCATCCCCAAAATCCGCGTGCTCTCGGTGGGGATCTCAAACAGGCTGAGCCCTGCCAGCAAAGGCAGAGCTATCCCTGAGGCTGTCCTGGCACCGGCGGGTCCACGCTGGGCACCGGCCCCGTAACACAGGGTCGGGGACAGGGACACCCCACACCTGCTTCCATAGCAAGGATTGGGTTCGTTATTGGTGTTAATTGCTTGATGCTTGCACTGTGTTTCCTACCCTGCAAAGGCTGAGTCAAAACCCAGCGCCCCGAGGCACCGCCTCTATTAAACCGATGTTCATTAGAGCCGACTTCGCGCTACCTCATTAGGCTTCTGTAATTGAAGGAGTTAATTGATTATCAATACTTCCAGTTCCCTCTTCCCATGCCTGCGAGGCCATGCCGGGTCTTCTCCGGGGTCCCCCGTTCCTCACAGGGCTCTGCCTCACCTCGCTGCCACCAGCACGGGGCGGCTCAGGGAACATCGCGGTGCCACGTAGCGGTGCCAGCAGCACCCTGACCGTCCTCCTCGGGGCCCTTTGCTTGCAGCACCTTCCCCCTGATCCTGTGCTGGCTGTTTAAAACCCTTCCCGCAGCTCCCCTCTCTGCCTTTTAATGCATATGCATTACAGCTGGGGAGGGCGCGCATGGGGGCTCAGCCCCCGAGCGGGTGCGAACGCGGAGCCTCCGAGCCAGCTGCTCCCCAGCCCAGCTCACCGTGCCCGGTGGCACAGGGCTGAGGGCACCGGCTGGGGGGGCACAGTCTTTAGGGGCACAGACTTTGGGGGGGCCCCGGCTGCGTGGGGGTGGCCGTGGTGGCAGTGGCGTGGGCCGCTCGCTCGCTGCTTTTCCTGTGCGCGGGCACCGTGCCCGGCTCCCTCGCGCCGCCACGTGCTGCCTGACTCAGCCACGCGCCTGCTGCTTTTAGCCACGGCCTCCTAGCACCCTGCCTCGCTCAGCAAGGGGGCAGGGAGGTGTTCGGCTCCCCCCGTGCCGGCCCTACATCCCGCTCCCTGTGCTGGTGGTGCCCCTCAGTCCGTCGGCCTCGTGCCCGAGCTGGCTCTGCCGGCAGTGTGGCAGCCGGTGACAGCGAGAGGGAAGTGTCGCTCACCACCTTCGTTAGTTTTAACTAACAAGCTGTTTATCGGAGTGACATGACACCTGCTTTCCTCTTTATAAATTCAATAATTTATGAAAGGTATTAACGGCAAGGCGGCCTCCCGGATGAGGGCTGTGATGCGTGCGCCCTGGGTGCTAGCCAACCGGGACAGCGAGCCGCGCTCGAGCAATGCACGCAGGTATTTACCCGCTCCCTCTATAAATTATTAAGGGGCTTTTTGCACGTAATTACGCCAGCTTTAATGTTTCTCACTCCCTGCTTTTAATCCCTTTTGGAAGGCGGCCAGTCCATTCTGAGGGAGCCGAGCACACAGCGAGCTGCTCCGAGGGTCGCCGCCGACCAGCGGCACCAGCACAGTCCCAGCCCGCGCGGCACCGCTGCAGCCAGGGCTCCCCGCACGCCCAGCAGGGGAGGGAGAAGCAAAAGGCGCCAGCCCCGGGGTCGGGGCCAGGGCTTGGCCCCGTGGTGGCCGTGGGAAAGTGCGAAGCAGGCTTCAGTGTTTTAATTGCTCTCCAACTGTGCATGTAAATCAATGATACACAGGTGTAATTGGGCGTGCAAATGTCACCAGGCAGCTGTTTACATGTGCGGCGTGCATTAGGGGAGCGTGGATGTGTGCAAAGGAACGCCGAATGTCCCTAATGCCAACGCTGCCGGGGGGCTCCGGGTGCTGGGTGCCTCCGCTTCTGGGGCTCTGGCTGCCCCTCGCCCTGCCCCTGCCCTCCCTCCCCTGCCCCAGCCCCCAGCAGCGCTCAGCCCCCTCCCCAGCTGCCCAGCATCGCCCACACGGCCCCGTCCTGGCTGCACCGTGCCCGCCTGTGCCTGGCACACCGAGCAGGGCCGAGCCCCGAGCAGGCACGGAGGTGAGGAGCCTCCTTCACCCCCTCCAAGCACCCTGACCCCGCTCTGCCAGCAGCCAGCCATTTGTGAGTCAGCCCAGCGGGACCTCCCTCACCCCCCCCCCCCACAGTCCTCCTCATCCGGCACGGACTTTTCTCTTTTGGCACGGCTCTGATGTCCTCTGTGGTCTGCCAGCCCTCTCTCCTTTGTGCAGGGATCTTTAATCATGGCTTTGTCCCATTGTGCAGCTCCTATTCTTACGCCAGGCTGTTAAAAAGCTGTCACTGTCATAACTTCCTTGTCCCAGAAATTATCTTTCATCTCCTGGATGCGGGCTACAATAGCCGCTGAGATGCTTGGTATTATTAATACCTCCTGGATGTGTGTCAATGAGCTTAGGGATGTAACGGAGCCTTTTCCACGGCGCCTTGGGGCTGCTGGGCAGGGCCGCAGGCTGTCGGGCACTCGAGCCAGGCTCACCTCAGGGCATGTGGCCTCTCTCTCGGGCCTCCCAGCGAGGCTGCTCGTGGGGACAGCGGTGACGTTGGGTGCCTCCCAGTGCTGCCACCCTGAGCAGGCAGCTGCCGGCCGGAGGACTTTTGGTACAGCTGCCTCCTTGTGCTCCGAATCAATCAGCTGGCCAGGGCAAGGAGCGGTACAAGGCAGTACAGAGAGAAACCATGATGATAATACTTGATAACGATCCTCAGTTTTGCTCGGGAGCAGGCGCACGCCGCAGAATTTGGACTCCCTCCAGCTGATAATGAGAAGCCACTGGACTGACTCAGCCCGCTGCGAGGTGGCAGCAGCACACATCCAGATGGCCGCGGGGACGGGGGAGCAGGCACATCCTGCCGTGCCCCTTCAGCCCACCGCCCCCCACGCACCCCGAAATGTCACCGCCTGCAGGGAAGCAGGCTCCCGAGACCTGCCAGCAGGCTTTTCCCCTGCCCGTACCCACAGGGCTGGGTGCTCGCAGCCACCCTTGGGCACGAGACACCTGGCTTGCCTTCCCCTCCGTGTCCCGAGCAGCCAGGAGGCTACAGCAGCCTTCTCCAGGGCTACTTCGTGCCGGGTGGGGTTGAGGAGCTGTTTGCCATCCGGGCTTGTGAGAAATGCAGGTCTCTGTCCCTGCGGGTGGAGGGAGGAGGCTGGAGGGGCAGGCAGCAGATCTGGCGTTCCCAGAGCCGCTGCTGGCAGCACTTCAAGGTGTGGTACCTCCTATCTCAGCCTGGCATTTGCACGTATTTTCTCAGCTCAGCTTGTTACGACAAAAGTGTGAAAATTTGAAAAGAAAGGGAACTATAAGAATAATGGCAGTAATTAAAACCCATCTCCCTCCTGCCAGCTCAGCCCTTTCCCAACCTTCTGTGGGATTCCTGGGCACGGGTGCCCAAACCAGGTGGGGTGCTGCTGGGGGGCATCAGAGCTCGCCCCAGGCGGCCCCCTGGCAGGGCAGCCCCGAGTCCTGCTGCCCGGGCAGGGGCTCGCAGCCCCTTGCAGGGGGGAGGCCGGCGCAGCTCCCAGCCCCCTGCCAGCAGCAGGAACCATCTGCGGCCCGTCCTCACCCGGGTGATCGCAGTGCCAAGGAGCTGGAGCATCTGTGCGAGGGGCGAGCCCCCCGCAGATGGATGCCCAAATGTTCTCCGGAGTTGTGAGGGGAAAAGCGGCTCAGGGCTCCTGCACCGAGACCCCCGTGGTCCCTCGCCACCACGCCGGGGTGGGGACGGCTGCCGAAAGATGGTCTTGGGAGGCCCCCTGCTTCCCGGCAGCGAATAGCAGGGCTCTCACCCAGCCCTGCCTGCACGCCACGCTCGCCGGGCCTTTTTGGAAACCCAGGCTGGGTTTCCTGGATGGCAGGAGCAGGGCACACACACCGGCAGCGAGTGGGCAGCAGCGTGCGGGAGCGGAGCCGGTGCTGCGGGAGGAGTGATTCAGCCCTCAGCTGGAGAGCTCCCGGTGCCCAGCCTTTGTTCATCCCCAAGCTGGCGGGTGCCGAGCAGGAGGATGGCTGCGACCTCCCCTGTGGGCTCCGGGGAGGCTCACGCTGCCCGGGGTTTGCTCCCAGCCCGGGGTTTGCTCGGGGTGGCCGCTGGGGCCCCGTGCCCCATGGTGGGCACAGCTCAGGCGGGAGAGGCCAAGGAGGGATGGAGGCTGCCCGGGGTGGTGTCTGCACGGGAGTCTCCACCCCTGGGCTTGTTAGACGGCTCGTGGAGGAAGGCCAAGCCGTCCTCTTCCTCAAAAGCTCCCACTGGCTGGGAGAGGCGGCCAAGGGAAGGCTCACGGGGCTGCTGTGGGGACGTGGAGCCTCAGCCCGTGCCAACGCACCAGCCTCGCTGCTGGCTCCCCGTGCGGCTCCCCGACCCGCCTTGCCAGCAGCTCTGTAGGGCCAGCAGGAGCGGGACGGAGCGGGAAGCACCCCGGAGCCCCATTGAAAGGGAGCAGGAGGGGAAAGTGCACAGGAGAAGCGAAGTTTGTGCCCATTTCTGCCAGAGAAACCAGCCTCCGATGGGAGAGCCGGCAGTGGGCAAAGCTCCCGAGGGTGTCGGGGAAATCAGCCCTGGGTGCGATGGGGCCGGTTCGGGATGCTCTGAACTGGGACCCTTGGGGTCAGCAGCGCTCAGACCCGCCCCGGGGCCCCCCCGTGCCCCGCAGCCCTCACCCCACGGAGCACGGGGAGCGCCGTGAAGGCTGGGGGGGCAGAAAGCCGCGATGGGCAGCACCGGGACGGCCCTCCCCGTGTCCGGGGCGCATCCCCGCGCCTCTCCCCCCCTCTCCCCGAAGCGCAGCGAGGCTGCGGGAGGAGGGGACTGGAGGCAGCTCCCGGCCCCGCACCGCCCCGCTCCGCTCCCCCCGGCGGCTCCTCCCGGAGGGGAGGCGGGGGCCGGCAGCCGGGGCTGCCTCGCAGCCGGGCTCCCCGCAGCAGCCTCGGCCGGCGGCAGCGCACCCGGGCCATGCCGCCCCGCAGCACCGCCGCCTCCCCCGGCCTCCGGCCGCCGGGCTCGGAGGGGAGGCCGCCGGCCCCCGGGGGTCCCTAGGGCGGCCCCGGAGCGGCCAGCGGGAGCCGGGGGGGGCCGGGAGCCGGGCGGACCCCGGGAGCGCCTCCGCCGCCCGTGCGCCTCCTGCCCGTGCCGGCGCTGCGGAGAGGGGGAGCTGCGTTACTGCAGGTGGAGGCTGTGGCGGAGGAGGAGGAGGAGGAGGAGGAGGAGGTGGGGGGGGGCCGGGGGAGATGCCATTTCGGACCGAAGGAGACCGGCGGCGAGGATGAGATGCAGGTAAGAGGGATGGGGAGGCCGCCCGGGGGGGGCCGGCGGCGCGGCTCGGCTCGGCCCCTGCTTCCCCCCGGCCCCGCGCCCTGCCCCGGCCACCCGGGGCTGCCTCGCCCTGCGCCGCATCCTCCTGCTGAGGCAGCCTCCTCCTCCTCCTCCTCTTCCTCCTCCCCCTGCTCTTCTCCCTCCTCCTCCCCGCTAGCCGAGCGGATCCCGTATTCAGCTGGGGCACGGCGCTGCCTGCCAGGGCTCCCCGGAGCCCCCCCAGCAGGGCCGGCGAGGTTGATGCCGGAGGAGGCTGCCCCTCTGCCGGGCACCCCGCGCACCCGGGCACCGAGGGCTTCACCCGGGCAGGGCGAGCTCCCAGCCCCCAGCCGGCAGCCATGGGGGGCAGTTCGGCCAAGGGGGGCCGCCCCCCGCCGGCACCAGCCCCCCAGCCTGCAGGTAGGTGAGCCGGGCAGCTGGGTGGACGATGGACCCCTAGGATTTTGGGGGAGCCGCTGAGGGACCCCCCCCTCCCCGTCTGGGCTCAGCCCCCGGCACGGGAAAATGGGAGGGGAGGCAGCGAGGGGCTGCCAGCAGGGGTTGTGCCCGGCAGAAGAAGAAGGGGTTGATGTTGGAGGGGCTTCTCGGGGCAGGAGGGGTTGGGAGGATGGCAGGGAGCCTGCTGGCCGGCCGGGGAGCCCTCCCGGGCAGCGCTTGTTGCTCCTGCTGCTGCCTTGAGGGTGTGGGGATTTTCACCTTGCGCCTTGGCAGTGGGCACAGCCCGGAGCGAAGGGCAGGGGCGCGCGGTGCTCCAGGTGCCGGGGTTGCCCCTGCCGGGGCTGTGGAAGTGATTTCCAGCGGGAGGGAGGCTCGGCGAGGGCGGGCGTGAGCCTGGGCACCCACGGTCATCGCTCACCCCTCGCCCTGGTGCGTGCCGGATTGTGGAGCCGGGGCTCGGCCAGCCCTGCCCGGTGGTGCCCAGCCACACCAGACCCCGTCCCCGCTGCTCCCCGGGGCCACAGGACTGGGGGCAAAGCACCCTGGGCAGCCCCTCTGAGCAGATCTGCTCCTTTCCCTTCCTCCCTCCATCTCCCCCTGCTCTGCAGCACCTCGGCGTGGGCTCTGATGTCCCTTCCTCGCGTCCCAGCCTTAACCCTCAGCTCCCCGTGCCGCCGCCTCGAGCAGCGCCGAGCTGACCTTCACACCCGCCTGCGCGCCCCCAGGGCTGCCCACCCCAAAGGCTGCCCCCAGCCCCGTGTCACTGCTCAGCCCCACACCTCAGCATCCTCTGTCCCCGGCTTCAAACCTCTCCTGCCCCTCTCCCAGGTGCAAATGTCCAGCACCGCCCCGAGCCTGCCCCAAATGCCCCGAGCCTGCCCCAAATGCCCCGAGCCTGCCCCAAATGCCCCGAGCCTGCCCCGTGCAGGGAGCCCTGCTCAGCCCCTGCCCGTCCCAGCAGCAGGAGCTGCCTGGGCTGGCTCTGCCTCCTCGCCTCCTGCTCCTGGCTCCTGCCTGGGGCGCTCAGCCGGCAGCGTGGTGCCACGGCAAGCAGTGGGCTCGGTGCTCTGAGCTTAGCGAGAGCGGAGAGCGAGGCTGAGAGAGAAACGCATCCCAGGGCTGAGCATCCGTGCCTTTCCACAGGCATGCTGGGGCCATTTTCCCCGTAACCAGGCCTCCTCTCCTCTCCTCTCCTCTCCTCTCCTCTCCTCTCCTCTCCTCTCCTCTCCTCTCCTCTCCTCTCCTCTCCTCTCCTCTCCTCTCCTCTCCTCTCCTCTCCTCTCCTCTCCTCTCCTCTCCTCTCCTCTCCTCTCCTCTCCTCTCCTCTCCTCTCCTCTCCTCTCCTCTCCTCTCCTCTCCTCTCCTCTCCTCTCCTCTCCTCTCCTCTCCTCTCCTCTCCTCTCCGGGGACTCAGACCCGCCGAACCTTTTTTTTTGGGGATTAATCTGTCAGCGGATGGCTGCACTTCAGTAACACCGTACCGTGCGGCAGTTATTCTACACCCCTAACGCAATTACTCCGCGATACCTCTAATTACCACTGTTTCATATCACTGGCAGGTTCACAGCATGACTGAACGACTTATTATTCTTTTAGTTTCCTACTTAATACAGTCCCGTAATGACGCCGGAGTTTACCCTGCTCGATGCGCGTAACAAGTGTAAAATCCTGTAACTTGAGCTGCAATTTCAGGGCTTGATAAATCACTTTATAATAACGCCACGATTACGGTGTAATTATCGTGTAATTACAGCCGCCGCCTTGTGAAGCACACACCGGCGCCTGTCGTGGCTCGGGGAGGGTTAGGGGACCCTGCCGGGTGCCGTGGCAGTGCCTGGGGTGGACGGGAGGTGACAGCCCCGGGGGGCAGCACTGTCGGGCTGGGGAGGGTGGGTTTGCCAGGGGCACGTCTCTGTGAGGGTGCTGGTGGGGAGTGTGACTGTGCCACCCCTTCTGGGACCCCGCCGGGGTGGAAATTCCTGAAGAGAGGCTTTTCTGTGTCACCTGTGGGAGCCACTGTCCCTGGGGCACCGGAGCCCGGCCGCTCCTCGTCCCCATTTGGCTTGTGGCCCGTGGGGAGTTTGCTCGGGCACTGCTGGCACTGGGGAAGGTCAGCGGAGCTGGGGCTTGGCCACGTTGGATCCCTCCAGGCTGGTGTGGGCTCGGTGTCCCCACCTGTCCCTTTGGGCACGGTGGCTGTGCCGTGGACCAGAGGTAGATGGCCTTGGCTTGGAGCACCACGTGCGGCCACAGGGGGCTCACGGGGAGCGGAGGCAAGGAGCCTCCTGCCAAAGGCAAAGCTGAGAGCCAGGGTCTGGCCTTGCCTCGTGTTAGGCTGAGTGGTTGCCAGGGTGTGTGGGGACAGAGGCCGTGCGGGGCAGAGCCTCCAGAGCTTGGAGAGCCTCGCTCCTTGGAGAGCCTCACCCCTTGGAGAGCCTCGCTCCTCGGTGTCCCTGGGCTGGGGCACCGCGCAGTGCCCCCAAGCTCCTCCAAATCCGCCCGATCCCCGTTCTGTGCCCACCCATCCCCTCACCCGGCGCGGTGGGAGGAGGGCACAGGTCAAGGTGTGCAGCTCCCGGAGGGCTGGGTACATCCAGTGCCCTGGGTCGGAGGCTGTCCTCCCTTGTCTGTCGGGAAGCAGAGGGACCGGGGTTTGTCCTAGCACGAGCAGAAATGGCTCTTGGTGGGAGAAGAGCCAGCACAGCCTGTCAGCCACGGGGGGAGGCTGGGAGGAGGGAGAAGAGGGCTACGAATGCTTAACTCAAATCAAACAACCCAAGAAAAATAAAGGGAGAAAGCAACTGGAGGTCATGGCCTCAATTTTCTTCCAAGTCAATTTTCCGCCCCCCCCCCTCCCCCTCTCTCCACCTGGGGGAGGAAAAATTGGAGCTTGTGGAGGGGAATGGCTGCACGGAGAGATTTTTCCGTGCCTCTGCCACGTGTCCCCGCTCCCTGTGACCCCGCTGTGCCGGCTGCGTGGAGCTGCACCCACTGTGCCCCTGTTCTCCCCAGGCATTCCCTCTGCCACCTGACGGTCCCGTGGGACGCCTGTGTCATGGCAAGGGCTGCCCCATGAAGCTCCGTGTCCCTCGTCACAGGGCCAGGGTTGGTGTCCCGAGCTGGGGACAGCACCGAGGGTGAGCCAAAGCACCTTGGCGCCTCGGTTCCTTTCCTCCCCTGCCGCCCTGCATTGCTCTTGGCTGTCTCGGTAGCACCCACCGTTATTGGCTTTTTTTTCATCATTTCCGTTCCGTTTCTTCATCAGAATGCAAAACGTTAAATATCGCTCTTGTAATTACGGTTAATTTCATAACCAGCACCTTAATTGGATTGGTCTCCGATGGGGAATTCGCGCAGGAGGGAGAAGCAGAAATATTTTGACGTGCTCCCATCCTCCGGCTCATTGTTGAGATCGGAGGCGCCGGGTGCGAGATGGGGAAGGACGGGCGCAGGCCTCGGAGGCACGCGGGGGGCACCAAGCAAAGTCTGAGCACGTTTGGAGCCCCCGCTGGGCCGGGGCCTCCCTTCTGGCCTCACCTGGGCACACCTCCGTCCCTCGGGCACCCCAACCCGTCCCTTCCCCAACACCCCCAGGGCTGGGGCAGCCCCGAGGAGCCCACCAGGGTTATGTGGAGGAGCTGAGCTCCAGCCTCGGATGTGCTGCAAAGAAATGTGTGCCACCGGAGCCAGGCGAAGGGCGGGAGGCAGGGCCTCGGCGCCAAGCTGCCTGGGGAGCCCCTCGGAGCCGCCGCTGCCCTGGGCTCGAGCTCCGGTTTGCTCCGGGGAGCCGGGGATTGCGCTGCCATTAGGTGCTGCCATTAAACTGCCGTGTGCTCGGCTGCTGCTCCTTTTCAATGGGAAACGATGCAGAGGCTGAACCGAAATGGAAACCCTGGCCTTGTGTTTCCGATTTAATTTCTAGGCACCGTGTGGCCACGTGATTACTTTTGTTCTCGCATGCAGCCCCGCGTGCAGTCTCTGTGTTATTATCATCACCACGGGGAGAAGGAGGAAGGGGCGGAAAGCATCTCTTGCAGCTCAAGGAAAACAAAACAAAACAACCCCAAAGCAGCCGAGGGCAGCGGGGGGGCACCCCGTCACCATGGTGGGTCGCTCCTTTTGCTCCGTGCCCACAAGGCCAGGGACTGGTGAGGTTCCCCGTGGCACAGCGGAGGCTGCAGGAAGCCTTGCAGCCCTCATTAAAGGCATTAAACCCACTGGGTTTTTTGCCCTGCTGCAGCTGCTGTGCAGCCACGGGGCTGTGCTGCGTGCCTTGCACCGAGCCCTTCCCTTTAGGACGGAGCTGATCCCCCCTGCCCGGCATCCCAAAGCACCCGGGGCTGGCATTGCACGGCGCAGCATCCACAGGCAGAGCCAGCGGACTCGAGACAGCTTCACCAGTGAAACTGAAATGTTGGATTTCCTGCAATCGCCCTAAAAATAACCTGGGGTTCTCCTTTCAACCAGCATTTTCCTTCTTGCTCGGAGCAGAGGTCTGGGTGCGTTGCTGTGACCCCGGAGCTTTGTGTGCGCCCCTGTACCTGGGAAGGACGCGTCTGTGGGGCTGGCAGCACCTGCAGCCCAAATCCCAGCCCCGCTGTACACCTCGGTGCCCGTGTGTGGACCCAGCCCTCATCCCGGGCTGGCGGGTGCTGCTGGCCACTCGCCCGCCCGCGGCACCGCTGACTGCAGGACCGGTGGGCTCAGCCGCGGCTCAGCGCTGTTTGTTTTTATCTAATCTATTTTATTGTTGAATGAAACAATAACAACAAACGGAGGCCCTGAAGACAAGCCATAAATAATGCAAAAATCAAACAAGCAAGAACGGGGGAAAGAAGAAAAGAATTATACGTGTAAAACCAGCACAGAGAAAGCCGGGCTGGAAGAGGAATCTTCTCGCCACGCTCGCCATCGCTCAGGCTTGCTTTTGCTCCCTTTTTTCTCCGCTTCTCTCTGGAAAT